AGGAGGCCAGAGGGGTTCTAATGGTGGAATAGTTTGTAGAAGTTCAGGTTCAAGGTCAGAACAGGGGGAAATGACCATGGCTTAGTTAATAAGCACACAGGTCTGAGGCCTGCCCATAGGGAATTATACTGCAAGTGTAACCAGTGCCCAAGGTTCAATATCAGATCAAGACAGCGGTTATAGAGGAATATTAAATAAAAGCCAGGGTTTGAGGCAAGATCAGAGGGTATAAATAGTGGGCTAGTTTACTGAGGTCAAGGCCCGAAGAGCACTGAGTGCAGAAAAGTGTGTTTTTTTTTCTTTTTCCTTTCTTCTTCTTCTTCTTCTTCTTTTTTTTTTTTTTTCTTGCATTGCTGGGGATTGAATTCAGGACTTGGCACCTGCTAGGCAAGCCCTCGACCACTGAGCTACATTCCAAGCCTAAGGGTGGAAAAGTTAACAGAGGCTCAAATTCAGGTATCAGACCTGAGGAGCACTTACCTTGAATTCACTGAGGACTGGATTCAAGGGTCTGGCAAAAAGCCCCCCATACTGGCGATGGAAGCCACGGGTTCTCTATCACTGGGCTACACCCTATCCTTTTTTGAGACATGATCTTGCTAAGTTGCCCAGGCTGACCTTGAACTTGAGGTCCTCCTGCCTTAGTCTCTAGAGTAGCTGGGATTGCGAAGCATGCATCACCATGCCTGGATGGCAAAGAGTTATTGATGGTGGAATCATAAATAGAGTCCCAAACTGCAGTTTAGAGCACCATGACACTGACAGAAGAGTTAAAAAAAAAACAACTCAGGTTTAAAATAAAATTAGGGTGGCTCAGAGGTAGAGCGCTTGCCTAGCATGCATGGGGCACTGGGTTCAATCCTCAGAACCACATAAAAATAAAGATATTGTGTCCACCTACAACTAAAAAATAAATGTTTAAAGTAAAATTAGGGGTTTTGATGCTGGAAGCATTGCCAGGCATGGTGGCATAGGACTGTAATCTCAGCAACTCAGGAGGCTGAGGCAGGAAGATCACAAGTTCAAGGCCATTCTCAGCAACTTAGTGAGACCCTCACAAAACAAAAATTAAAAAAGGCAGGGAAGTCACTTAGTGGTACAGGATCCCTGGATTCAATCCCCAATGCCAAAAAATAAAATAAAAGATGGTGGGAGCTTTAATAGAGGCACAAGTTTAAGCAGAGGCCAGATGGACACTCATGGTGGTAGTCTTTAAAATAACTGGGTTTGAGGTCATACTAGATAGGTATCAGTTGAGGAAACATTAAGAAATGCCCAAAGGCCTGGCATGGTGGTGCATGCCTGTAACACCAGCAACTTTGGAGGCTGAGGCAGGAGGATCTAAAGTTCAAAGCCAGCCTCAACAACTTAGTGAGACTCTAAGAAACAGTGAAATCCTGTCTCAAAATAAAATATAAAGGGTATGTGATTCAGTGGTTAAGTGCCCCTGGGTTCAATCCCTGGTACAAACAAACAATCACCAAAAATGAATAAAAAGGGCTGGAGATGTGGCTCAGTGGCTAAGCACCTCTGAGTTCAATTCCTGGTACAGAAAGAAAGAAGGAAGAAAAGAAATGGAAGAATGGAGGGAAGGAAGTGGGGGGCACAGAGAGAGAAAGGAAGGAGAGAAGGAAGGAAGGAGAGAAGGAAGGAAGGAAAAGAAATGCCCAGAGGCTGGGGATGTAGCTCAGTAGTAGAGAGCTTGCTTAGCATGTGATGTGCAATGTTCAGGGTTTGATTCTCCAGCACGACAAACACAAATACCCAGATTTTAGGTCAAAGAGTGATGTTAGAATAGTTAGAGGCTTGGGCTTAATTGTGGATGACACAGGTTATTAATGGTCCAAGTGTTAATATAGAGGTGTTGATAGAATTGACACCATAAGAGGACTGACAGTGAAATAACTAATAGAGCCTCAGATTCAAAGTCAGGATTGAGGATCCTCAGAGCAAAAGGACATTGCTCACAAAATAACTAACAGAAGCCTAAGTTTGAGGTCAGTTCAGAAGACAGTTGCTAGTGGAATATCATATAGAAGCCCTGTTTTGAGACTTGACCAGTGGTAATTGACTAGCTGGATAATAATTAATAAAAGCCCACCTTCAGGCTCATACCAGAAAGGATCTTGATGGTTAAGTAGTTAAACACACCAGTTCAAAGTCAGACAAGGGGCATGGACAAGTTAATGGAGGCAATGCTGTAAGGGAATAGGAGAGTAGCATTGATGGTGGAATGGTTAACAGAGCTCCAGATCTAATGTCAAATCAGAGGTACAGTGATTATGGACAAGTTAACAGAGGCCCACGTTTGACCAATAATATTATTTTTTATTCTTTATTATTTGTCCAGTATTTATTTCCCCTTAGATTTTCAGTCAAGAAAAGTATCAACAAGATGAATTTAAAGTAAAATGTCAAGTCTGCCACCTCAAAAATTTCACAAGGAGGAAACCCCCAAAATCATGCACAACAATCATGACCAATCATCCTGAATCCAGATTCAATAAAACATGAAGAGTGTGAAGAAAAGAAGTTAAGAAAACTGATTCTCCATAATTATCTTGCCATCCAGAGACCTTGGCTAAAACTGAGTATCTATTTAGTGTTGCATACAGTGCAGGAAAGAGTGAACTTGGCAGATCTGAACCGCTATCCTTGGAAAGGCCTGTTTCAAGGCTGGTTCTGACTGCTATCTGGAACTTACATTTCAGTATTCCCACCATTCCCTAAAAGGTAAGGATGGCTCGCTATGCCTCAACTATTTGCACAAGGAATGTGGTTCATGCTGAACACCTGCTTTCCTTCTGGGAGTCGAATTTGGATAAGGGGCAGTGTGATAGGCAGGGGGGTCTCTGTGACCAGCCACCCCAAAAACCCTGGCCCCTGTGTCTCTGATGAGCTTCCCTAGTTGGCAACATTTCACATGTTGTCACAACCCCATTACTAGGAGAACTGAGCACATCCTATGAGTCAACTGGGAAAACTGAGCATATCCTATGAGTCAACTGGGAGAGGACCCTTGGGAACTTGTGCCTAGTCTCCCCAAAACTTGGCCCTGTGCACCATTTCCCTTTGCTAATGTTGCTCTGTATTTTTTTCTGTAATAAAAAGTATTCATGAATACAACCATACGCTGGGTCTTATGAGTCCTCCTAGCATATTAACTGAGCTTGCCACTGGTATTAGGGACAACGATACACACATGTACATGAGTGTCTCAGCTCCCTAATATCCCTACCTCATCACCGTTTTCCTAAGGCCTGTCAGATGAAAGTTATCAGAAATCTTTTTGTCAAATACCAGTAGATTGAACAGATTATTTTCCTCCCCCAACCAGACTGGGGTTAGTTCTGGTGTTAGTTCTGGAGCTCAGCAATGGTGGGCCACCAGATTGGAGTCTCTGACTCTGTTGACTGTCTCTGAGGTCCCAAGATATTAACCACAGTTCAAATTGGCACATATATGGCAGCATACAGAGCCAAAGGGAAGGAAATACCTGGAGCAAGAGCCTTTTTGACATTTCCTGGTCACTCTGATCATTAACAAGGGTTTTAGTTTATTTGTCCCCCTGTCAAAATCCAAGTGATCTCTCCTTACTCAGGGTTCCTTATGGAACATCACTTTTTGGTCTCTAAGCTGTTCTAGGGCAAACCCTGGGCCCTGGGTGGGCATGGGAGGAGAAAGGAGTGGTCTGGGGGATTTCCCATTGCCTCCATCCCACAGCAGGAGCCCCAAGCTGTCTCAGGGTCCATAGTTATCTCTGCACCAGCTGGGTGATCCAAGAAGTCAACATCTCTACTCCCTACTTGTGAGAAACAGCCCAGTGCAAAATTATGGGGCCCACTCAGGCAGAGGCTACCATGTTGGAAGGTTTGCAGAGTCTCAGCGCCCTGGAGGACCCGGCCGGGTCCTGTAGCCTAATATGATGAACTCTCTAGGATAGAACCCAGCATTTTCTACCCAACTCCTCCACTGTCACCAGATAATGTTCCTCCTTTGCTTAAAAACGGGCGACTTCTCCTTCACTCAGGAAAAAGGCCAAAGTCTTCATCATGGCCCATGAACCCCTACAAGCACCTGGCCTGTTTGACCTCATCTACTCTCACACTCTAGCCTATACAGTGATCCTTCAGGCACATTCTACCCTCCAGTGCCTTTGTGTTGGATTTTTTCTTTGAGAATGTTCTCTATCACACTATGGCTCCCCCTCATTTCATTCAGGACTTTGTCTAAATGATACCATCAAGAATGTCTTTCCTAATGACATCACCAAAAAGACCGCAACCCCAACTCCTAGACTATCTCCCTTCCTTGCTTTATTTTTCTTCACATCTTTAGCTGACTTATTACACATAGATGCTTCCTGATTTACAACAGGGTTATATCCTGATACATATATCGTAAGTTGAAAACACCGTACATTGAAAATACACTTAATACACCTAACCTACCACATATCCTACCTTAGCCTAGCCTACCTTAAATGTGCTCAGACCACTTATATTAGCCTACAGTTAGGCAAATTCATCAAACACGAAGCCCACGTTATAATAAAGTACTGACTACTCATGTTACTTACTGAACACTGTACTGAAAGTGAAAAAAACAGACTGATTGTATGGGTATGCCTTTGTACCATCATAGAGTTTAGAAGTAGTAAAGTGGAAAGATCGTTAGTTGAATCATCATAAGTTGGGGACTGGCCATTCTTTTGTCTATTGTGTGCTTGCCTCCATTAGGATACAGGGCCATGAGGACAGGGATTTCTGTCAGTTTAGGTCACAGCAGTATCCTCAGGGCCTAGAACAGTTCCTGGCACACAGCTGGTGCTCAATACTGTTGAACGCATGACTGTAAAAGGCTGATACAGCAGACATTCAGTAAGTGCTTGTTGAATGAAAGAACACAACACTGCATGAATAATTGTACCCCCTTCCACCATGGGTCCCAGAGCTGCCCACTCCCCCATGCCACCCCCTGGCAGACCTGGGAGCTGGCCCTCAGCACAACCACAGAAACTTTATTTACAATGCAAGACCAGGGTAGGAGGTGGGGGTTGGTGGACAGCACAGGGCTTGCAGGACCCTACTTTTGCTCCCGTCTCCAGACGATGACCATGCCGCTGGCGTCACTGGAGGCCAGCAGGCTCTCGTCGCAGTTGAAGCTGACGTCAAGCACAGGTGCACTGTGGCCCTGCAGCTTGTTGACAGCAGCCTTGGCTGCTCGCTCCACATCAAAGAAGTGCACGCACATGTCCTCACTGCCTGTCACTGTCCAGGTGAGAGGGAGAAGCCATCAGGATGACTGGGGTGCTGTGGGTATGAAGGCCCTGAGGTATCTGAGTTGTGAAGACCCAGCATGGCTTGTGGAGGTTTGAAAAGGGGGACCATTCCTAGATGGAAGGTCATCTGACGATTTGGGTTCTACGTGTATAAGGTAAGATTTCTGGGCTGTTTGGGAGCCTGTGTCTCAGGCTGGAAAGCTTCTGGGCTATTAGGTGGTCTGTGTTCAAAGTTTTTGGAGCTGTGAGTTCCTGTGTGAGGCTGACAGGACATAAGAGGACATGAAGCCCTGGAAGTCATGGCATTAGGGTGTTGTAATGTCTGAACCAGGACAATAGCAGACCTGGTATCTATTCCTCCCTAGCCACCCAGGCCCCTGCCCCTCTGGGACTCACCCACACAGGCCCCCTGGCGGAAGGACATGAGGGGACAGAAGATGCTGCGCACAGGGTGTGAGCTCTGCTCAATGGGAAAGCTTCTCTTCAGCTGCAGGGTCCCCTCGTTGTCCACCACCCTGAGGAGAGGATGACAAAGCAGGTCGGGACACAGCCTTTGATCCAGGAGGGGGCCAGCAGCAGGCCAGTCTTGTGTCCCCACCCCCACACCTGAGTTCTTTTTAAGGTTCATGAAATCGATTTTTCTTTTTTAGAAGTCTTACCATGTTGCCCAGGCTGGCCTTGAATTCCTAGACTCAAGCTCTTGCCTCAGTTTCCTAAATACTTGGCATGACAGGCATGTGCCACTATGCCTGGCATGAAATCCAGTGTTAAGAGGATAGCATACACCTGTAAGTACAGCTGCTGTGTGTTTTCATGAGGGTTCAGAAACCATATCAGTAGACACAAATGGGAGCCTCTAGGGTTTCACCAACTAGTTTTTCATTAAGCATCTCTAAAAGATCTGGTGTCAAGACAGGCACAGAGAAAGGAAGTGGCTGTACAAATCTCAGTCTGTCCACCATGTGGAAAACTAAAGTTACTAAAGAGAATGAGGTACAGCTACTATGGGTAACCTGGGGGTGAGATTCCACAAGACATCTTCTGGGGATAAACCTGAGATGTAAACAAGATGTGGGGGTTGGGGGGGGGAGAATTTCTGTAAAACAATGATCTTCCTTCAACATGTGGGACTTGAGGGCAAAGAACACATGTGGAAAAGATGCCTATTGTCACCATCCTTGCTGTGGCAATGGGAGGGCTGAGGTGGCAGGAGGAGGGAAGTGCGCAAAAACTTAAGAGTATACTAGAAGGGCTAGGGTTGTGGCTCAGCAGTAGCATACTTGCCTGGTATGTTTGAAGCGCTGGGTTCAATTCTCAGCACCACATATAAATAAATAAAGGTCTATCAATAACTAAAAAAATATTTTTTTAAAAAAGAATATACTAGAAGTAAAAGAAAAAAGTAAATATGTATATCTATATAGAAGATTTCTTAAAGAAGATAAATAGTACAATTAAAAAGCATTCTGTTCTTGGGTATGGTGGCAGACATCTATAATCTACTCAGAAGGCTGGGACAGGAAGATTGCCAAGTTCAAGGCCAGCCTGGGCAACTTAGCAGACCCTCTCTCAAAATTAAAACAAAATTAAACAGGGCTGGGGATGTGCTTGGTGGTAGAGTATATGAGGTCCTTGGTTCAATCTCTAAAACTGACATCCTGTTGGGCAGTGGTTTTCAGGCCAGGCCAGGCCAGACATTACTTGGAGACTTTTTTGCTATACCAAACCTAGGCCCACCCAGCACTTCTGAAATTGTTGGACTAGAGTAGGACCTGGGCATGACTTTGTTTGCACGCATGTGTGGTCCTGGGGAGTGAAGCCATGGGTGCTCTAACACTGAGCCATAACCACCTAGCCCTTTTTATTTTGAGACAGGGTCTCCTTAAGTTGCTCTAGCTAATCTCCAACTTCCAATCCTCCTGCCTCAGCCTCCCAAGTTGCTGGGATTACAGGTATGTGCCACTGTGCCTGGCTGGCCTAAGTGGTTTAGGTCATTCCAGTGCACAGCCCAGAATGAGAGCCCCATCTGGGTAACATGACAGTGGTGAGTGGGGGAAGGGAATTCTCCCCCACAGAAATGCCAAACAATGATATAGGGCTGCAGGTATAGCTCAGTGGCAGTGCATGGACTTAGCATGTGTGAGGCCCTGGATTCTACCCCCAGCACTACAAAATAAGTAAATACAATAAATAAAAGGAAGGAAGGAAAACAGGCCTTAGCTCTAATGGACTCTGTTTATTTTTCTTTATTTTATTATTATTATTATTATTATTATTATTATTTTGTGGTGCTAGAAAACAGGCCTTAGCTCTAAGGGACTCTGTTTATTTTTCTTTATTTTATTATTATTATTTTTTGTGTGGTGCTAGAGATGGTACCCAGGGCCTCATGCTAGGCAAGCATCTACCACTGAGCTACACCCCCAGCCCATGACCCTGATCTGTTATGCCTCAGTGTGCTCAACTGTAAAATGGAGATAATAGCAATACCTATTTCACAGATTAGTGTAAGGATTAAATGTGATTCACAGAAAGGAGTTTGTACAGGCCTGGTCATAGCAGTTGCCATACAGAAGCTGTTACTGACATTATTGTTATTATCACCATAATTCTGTTAATTTTTAAAAAAAAATTTTAAAAAATTGTTTTAGTTTAGATGGACACAATATCTTTATTTATTTATTTTTATGTAGTGCTGAAGATCGAACCCAGTACTTCACACATGCTAGGCAAGTGCTCTACCACTGAGCCACAACTACAGCCAGTGTTATTTTTTTTTGGGGGGGGGGGGTGTTGGAAATCAAACATGCTAGACAAGTGCTCTACCACTGAGCTATATATAACACAAGGCCTGTCATCATATTATGAAGCCAGATCCCCACCCTCAGTGAAATTAATCTGATGAGGGAGATAGGCTCCTCTCCCAGTCTGATGGAGGAGGAAGGCCTTCCTGCCCTGCCCCCCTGAGGTGAACCTGATGGGGGTAGGGACAAACCTGTAAAGCAGCAGCTTGTTGAGGCAAGCATTGATGAGCAGCGAGGGGTCCCGGGCCTCACGGCTGACCCAAGAACGGGCAGAGATGCTGGTCACAGGGCTGCCTTCATGCACCACCAGCCGCTTGGCTTTGGTCAGCTTTCCTACAGCAGTGAAGGCAGGGGAGGCAAAGGTGAAGGTGAAGGCTGAGCCCTGTATGGATAAGAGGCAGAGCACCCAGATGCAGGTCTATGGCCTGCCTACCTGTGGCCATGTCAAAGAGGAAGGAGAAGACACTGCCACGGTCATCACCCGCCCAGAGCAGCCTGCCAGGGGCATCAAAGGACAGAGCAAGAACACGTCCTGTCAGCTTGCTGGAGCCACCTTTCACTTTCTTGCCAGTGGAGATGTTCATGACATGCACATTGTGCTTGGCATTCCCCACCTGTGGGTAGAATGAACACAGCATCCTGTGCCCCAACGGTCTCTTCTTGAGTTTGACCAGAGGGGAGGTACAGTGGGTAGAACAGAAGGTGACTCAGTCATGTCCCTTTGCTCTCTTGCTAGTCTCTCTGGCAATTTGCCCACAGTAGAACAGCTGCTCATGGTACTAAAGGGGTCACGGCAATAATGCTGACCCTTGGCCAGTCTGAAAACCACAGGGCTTTCCCAGGCCTACAGTAACATAACAGCTTTCCCCTGTGCCCTGACTGCTCCTTCCTGGAGACTGAGAGGCTGCTCCCGCTGAAACAAGAAACATCCTCCAACCACAGCTCACTCTTGGACAGTTCCCTGTACTTGACACCTCCACCCCCAGGTCACGTCAGACTTTTCATATACTTCCCCCTACCCTCTGACCAATCTGTTCTGGAGTCTGACCACAGTGGGGCCACCACTGAGAGACTAGATGAAATTTCAGCCTCAACACCCTGTTCTCCAGAGCCCCATGCAGGTGGAAAACTAGGACTTTGAGCAGTGGGACCAAAGGGGTCCCAGAATCATGACTACACCTCCAGCCCCACCCCCTAGAGTCTACCTCAGCAAGGCCATCTCAGACCAAGAACTGTGTTTCCCATTCTCTGGCAGGTTTCCCTTTGAGTCTGACCACAGTAAGGATGCTGTGACAGGACTAGGGAGGGATCCTAGACTTTATATTCTGATGCCTATGGATAGCCCTCGGACCCAGCATGCCTGCCCTTTGTAAGCAGGTGCCCTGGAGCCTGACCACAGTGAGGTTGTTGTTGACGGGCTGGAAGGTGCAGCAGAGCAGTTCAGCGCCATCAGGGTCAGGGATCTCCCGAATACAGCGGCCGTCCTCGGAGGCCCAGATGCGCATGGTGGCATCCAGGGAGGTGGACACGAGGATGTCATTGGAGAGGGACCAGGCGAAGTCGGAGACACCACGGGTGTGGCCCCTCAGCACGCGGAGCACAGTAGGTGGGGCAGGCACCAGCTGGCACAGGGAGATGCTGCCGTCGAGTGAGCAGCAAGCCAGGCGGTGCCGGTCGTCATTGGCGAAGCGCACCCTTGGGACTGCAATGCCAAAGAGCCATTTGTGGGAGTCAGCACACTTGCTGGGCACTTTTGTTTATAAAAGGCTCCGACATGTGTACAGAGGACTGGGACCCCATTGCACAAGGAATGGTGACCTCAGCAAAGGGCTTTCCTTGGCTGACAAAGACAGTTGTAACCTCTGCCAAAATGCTCCCTAAACTTCAGTAGGTACTTTGCAGATTTCAAGTCTTCTGCAATGTGAAAAAGCTCCTACTGTCTTAGCGAGCACTTTACAATCATCCAGGTGTCAGCAGTTTGCAAAACCTGACACTGCATAGCCTACTCTGCTCTCTGCAAGGGAATTCATCATCAGCAAAGGCTTTGAATTCTTCCCAGTGACTCATGAACCCAGGCAGCCTCCTGCAAAGTGCTCTCTTGAGTTTCTGAGACCTTTTACAGTATATAAAGTACCAAGACTTTGCAGACCACTTTGGAGAGGGCTTTTGAGTTTGTAAAAGGCTTTATGGATGGTAATTCCTCCTTGAGAGGCATGTCAGAGGCCTTGCATTCTGGAAAAGGATACCTTGGATGGATGATTGGACAAATATTGGTGATGGGACCCACCATATACTGACTCACCTGCCTCATCCACATGCTGGTCAAAAACATGGTACATGCCTGCAAAGGCATAGTTCTCGCTCAGCGATGTGTCCCCAGCCATGGCCCGACTTGCCTCTGCTGCTGATGTGGGCACCACGCTGCCAGGAGGCCTTAGCCCCAAAAGGAAATGGGGAGGAGGGTGACAGGAGGTAGGTATGGGTGTTCAGTCTGCCATGCCCCAGGGCCCCTCTCTTCCTCAAGAATGCCCATCCCAGCCAGGCACAGTAGCACACACCTGTAATCCCAGCAACTTGGGAGGCTGAGGCAGGAGGATCTCAAGTTCAAAGCCAGCCTCAGCAATTTAGCAAGGCCCTAAGAAACTTAATGAGACCCTGTCTCAAAATAAAAATATAAAAAATATAAAAAGGCCTGGGGATGTGGCTCAGTGGTTAGGCACCCGTGGGTTCAATCTCTGATACCAAAAAAAAAAAAAAAAACAAGCAAACAAACAAAAAAAAAAAAAAACCCAAAAAACAAAAAACAATGTCCATCACTCAGCTGCCCCCAGTGCATACCTGTCCTCATAGACAGCACGGTTCATCTGTGCCTGCAGCTGATAGGAGCCACGGCTGACAGAACGGCGGTGCCCTCGGGCCCCCAGGGCTCGAGGATCGTCCTCAAAGTCCTGCAGACAGAGAAGATCAAGGTGGATATCTTAAAAACAGCCCTAGAGAACCTCTGAGGTCTGGAGCCTTCAAAATATATCTAGAACCTGACCCCTTCTCATCACACACATCCCCCACCACCACAATCATAGCTCATTTGCATGGCTTCTTCACTTGTTCCTGTTTCTACCCCACTCTGCTCAGCACATACACAATATGTGTTCTTTGCACAAAGAATAAGTACTCTTCCCCAAGAAAACCAGTTAGCTCAGTCTCTCATTTCATTCAGGTCTCAGTTGTCACCTTCTTGAAGTAAAGCAGGCTTTCCTGATCACCCCCATCAAACATTCAAGTCCCCTTTTTTTCCAGTACTGGGTATTGAACCCAGAGCCTCATGTATGTGCTCTACCATTGAGCTACACCCCACCCACACAGTAGTCCTTTGTTAATCCCTTAAGAATGTTTTATTTTTCCATCTTAGCACTTCTTACTCTCACCATGGTAATTATGGACTTATTTATCTGACTTGCTATGTTTACTGACATGTTTATCTTGTTTATAACCTGTTTATCAAGTTTATTGTGTATTTATTGGCTAAATTGGTATATTATCTCTTTTTATCTTCTGCTGACCCTAAGATTCTGGAAGAGTGCCTTGAACATATCAGTGCTTGACAAGTGTCTGTGGTGAATGTAGTGGAGGCAAGGGAGGTGCATGATAGGTAGTTATGACCAGGGCTCACCTCCATGCGGTCAAGGGTTGTGCGGCTGCTGCGGACGATGCTGTTGCTATAGGCACGTGCACTGCCTGGCTCAGAGAGGGGCCCGTAACGCTGGCCCAACAGCTGGCCCCGCAGCCTCAGGTACTGCCGACGCAGTGCTGGGGGGTGCCCAGCCTTGGCATTCTCCCGCAGCAGCTGGCTGCGCCGACGGATATATTGGGTCCGAAACTGTGGAAACGTTGGTGTGCGGTACGCGTTGTACCTGCGGGGTCAGGATGCAGGCAGGCAGCAGGCACAGGACAAAGGGAATCAATCAGCTTGGGACATAGGGCCGCGAATGAGGTATGTGGCAGTGATTGAGGTCAGGGTGGCAAGAGTGATCAATGGTGTTGATGGGGGGTTTCCTCCTGGTCTGTGATAGGGGTGATTCTGCAGGAATGACTGGCATGGTGATGAGGTCAGTGTGAGGACAACACATTCTGCAGCTCTGTTAGGGTGGTATGGGGGGAATGAGTCACACAAACAGGAACAGGGATCAGTCTAGCATTGGTGATATAAGTCAGACTGGCATGACAATGATTAGTGTGAGGCAACGGTAGCGGTTAGTGTGGTGTGGTGATGGGATCACATCCAGAGATCATGGAAAAGTCTATGGGGTGGAGGGGGCAATGGTAGTGCTAAGAAGTCACCAACCTGAGGTCCACCGCCCCCACCCCACACCTGTAGCCTCTTTGCGCATGCCCATATTTGACCACATTTTCCCTGCATGCTGTTTAGAACTCTCTCAGGCCGGGTCATCTCACTTTCGGAGCGCCCCCACGTCTGCTACTGCACATGCTCACCTCCGGCATGCCCACGCAGCCGCATAAGGCAAGTTCTCCGCCCAGCCTCACTTATCGCCATTGCGCATGCACCATAGTAAGTTCCACTTCCATGGGCTCCGACCCCACGCCTCACCTCGCGTCCACTGCTAAGACTTGCTGCCACACCGCGGCCATTCCCCGGCCTCCTCCTCTGGTTTGTCCGCCCGCGGGAGCCTGCAGGATAAGGGCTTGGAATGTCAGCGTCCCAGGCGAAGGGATCTAGTTCCGCCCGTTCTGCCAGGTGGCTGTTGTCATAGACACGGATTCCCTCCACGCCAGGGACGTCGCGAAACCCCACTGGGCTGTTACCATGGTCATCACCCCAACCCTGCCCTTCCTGGGCAGCGCCGGGGTGACTCACAGCAGCAATTCAGACCTGACCCCGCCCCTCCCCAGTCGCCATAGCAACGCCCCTCCCCCACCTAGCAGTTCTTGTTTGACATTCCCCACCCATCTTGACCCCGCCGCCCTCCGCCTTCCCTTCTCGGGTCCAAGAGCATAGCCCAGGATCGAGGACCACCTCCGGGGCTGCCTCCGGCTCTTGAGGCCCCCGGGGCGGCCCTGAGACCACTGTCACCCGTTCCTTCTGTCTCTCTTCTCCCTTTCTCAGGCTCTAGGCAAGATGGCCGCCTGCTAACAGAAAGAGCTGCTGAGCACTGAGCGAATCGATAGGAACACTTCGCAGGGCGTGGGAGTCTCGCAGGCGCACTGAGGGACAGTAGTTTCCGGTACGAGGACGGAGGCTCCACCCTTTGAGTTCTAACCACTCCTTTTTGGCACCTTAATATACATAGGGATGATGTCCACCGGTCCCGGGGATGGCGGGGTGATAAGTACATGAATCAATCACTAGAAATCAGTGCAACTTTTTAAAGATGATGGTGGAGGCTGCTTTTTAGCAGCACAATCCTAGCAAATCTTAGATAGTAGAATAAAATACACACAGAAATCTTTAGTAGGTTCCTTTAGTTTTTGTTTTAATTTTGTACCGGGGATTGACCCCAGGGGTGCTTAACCACCGAGCCACATCCCCAGCCCTTTTATACCTCATTTAGACACAAGGTCTCGCTAAGTTGCTTAGGGCCTCACTAAGTTGCTGAGGCTGACTTTGAACTCACAATCTTCCTGCCTTAGCCTCCAGAGCAGCAGCAATTACAGGCATGCACCACCACGCCCAGCAGTTCTTAGGAGTCTCAGGAGGCTGAGGCAGGAGGATCACAAGTTCAAGGTCAGCTACCATAACCCAGTGAGACCCTTTCTCAAAAAATAAAGAGCTGAGGCTGTATCTTAGTGGTAAGGTGTCTCTGGTTTCAATCCCCAGTACAAAGGGAAAAAAGAAAATTGAGTTCTGAACAAGCTGGTGAAAGAATCCATTTTGTTGGGAGCTTAGAGAGGAAGGGGCAGATTGAGCTGCAAGAATGGAAGGTCAGTGGATGAAGGAAAAGGGGGTCTCAGGGCTGGAGATATGAAGTCACCAAAAGTAACTCATGCAGACTGTGAATAACCTTGGTTACAATCATGACTGAGAAAAGGTCGTCAAACCCATGGAAGACCACAAGTCCCATTAACTCTTAACAGGATCCAGGGCAATTTTACTTCTAGAATATGGTTGAGGGTCCCAGCCAAACAAAAAATAGATTTGGATAGAAAAGCCAGATAAGGGCTGGGGATGTGGCTCGAGCGGTAGCACGCTTGCCTGGCATGCGTGCGGCCTGGGTTCGATCCTCAGCACCACATACAAAGATGTTGTGTCCGCCGAAAACTAAAAAAATAAACATTAAAAAATTCTCTTTAAAAAAAAAAAAAAGACAAGACAGGTAAGCCAGAGCTCTTTGAAGATAATGCTTATGATAGTAGTGATTCCAATGATGGAAGAAGCCATGTTTTATCCAGACTCATCCTTCATTTGTATGCCTATTTAGTAAATTCTTTTTTTGCGGGGGCTGGTCAGGGATTTGAACCTAGGGACTCATGCAAGCCAGACAAGCACTTTTACCAGTGAGCCACATCCCCAGCCCTCCTATTTGGACTCCAAACTTTAAGAATACAAAGAAAAAAACAGGCACACTGGCACATGCCTGTAATCTCAGTGTCTCAAGAGGCTGACGCAGGAGGATCACAAGTTCAAAGCCAACCTCAGCAACTTAGTGAGGTCCTAGGCAATGTTGTGAGACCCTGTCTATAAATAAAATACAAAATAGGATCTGGGGATGCAGCTCAGGATTGCCCCCAAGTTCAATCCCAGGTACAAAAAAAAAAAAAAAAAAAGAAAGCAAAGCAAAGCAAAGCACTGGACCACACTGGTTGTCTGCTATTCTTGACACAGGTTGAAATGAAATCTGAAGTTGAACCCCAACTTCAGAGGACAAATTGGAACATAATTTGAGAGGAAGCCTAGGTGGCTTGGAGTGACAAGGGGTATACTGAGAATCAAATGAAATGGAGAAGCCATGAAGCTGAGTACAACTATAATGCAGACACCGAATCTTCATTTGTTTATCTCATCCCTGAAGTTTCTTCCTAAATGGGGCAAGAGGGGATTGGGGTGTGAGGTCATAACTTGAATTTCACCATTTCCTGATAGGAGAATGTCTGCCTCTCAAGCCAAAGTTCTCACAACCCCTAATGTCTTCGTGGTGGACAATGTTCCATGGCCTCAACCAGAAACAAGATTTCTCCAGTTGGGAAAAGCCTTAAGAGACCACTTGAGCATCCCCCAGAAAACAGAAATAGCAAGCCGGCCTTCCAGAAAGTATTTCTTCAGTTCAGCTCTTTCTGGGTGCCAGGCACTGGGGCAAAAGCAGTAACACTTATAAAATGGTTCCTGCTCTCACAGAGCTGCTATTCTATTCTAGCTATCAAGATAAAACAATAATTTGAGAAACCAATACTCACTATAAATACAACAGTTTCGTTAGTGTTACTGAGTTGGAGGGAGGGATGAGAAGTAAATTTGAGCTAGAACTAGAATGAAAGGAAATCATAGGAGCTGGGGATATAGTTCATTGGTAGAGTGCTTGCTGAACATGTACAAGACCCTGGGTTCCATCCCCAGGGGAAAAAAAATGAAAAGAAAGGAGCCAGAATCACAGAGATCTACCAATGGTGAAATAAATAAGGTGGATAATGAGGCCCATCGGCAACTGATCAGAATAGAGAAATCACTTTATAGGAATAGGACTCACTTCAATTTGCCCACTGAGGGATTCACCCCCAGCCTAGGAACCTGGAAAAACTTGGGCCTTGGTTTTTAATCATAGTCACTGGGAATAGTAGCCTAAATGGGTACAGCCTTGGAGTCTACATTTTTTTCTACTAATACATTGAATTACATCTCCTGCTTTAAAATATATATATATATATATATATATATATATATATATATATATATTTGTTCTAATTAGTTATACATGACAGCAGAATGTGTTTCGATTCACTGTACACAAATGGAGCACAACTTTTAATTTCTCTGTTGTACATTGATAAAGTCCCACATTCTTGCAAACATACATGTACCTAGGGAAATGATGTCCCTCTCATTTTATCATCTTTCCCACCCTCCCCTTTGCTCAGTCCAAAGTTCCTTCATTCTTCCCTTGTCCCAGCCCACCATGGATCAGCATCCACATATCAGAAAAACATTTGGACTTTGGTTTTTTGGGATTGGTTTATTTTGCTTAGCATGATATTCTCCAACTCCATCCATTTATCATGCCATGATTTTATTCTCTTTTAATGCTGAGTAATATTCCACTGTGTATATATACCAGTTTTTAAAAAATATTTTTAGTTGCACTTGGACACAATACTTTTATTTATTTTTATGTGGTGCTGAGGATTGAACCCAGCACCTTGCACGAGCTAGGGAAACACTCTATTGCTGAGCCACAACCCCAGCCCATACCACAGTTTCTTTATCCATTCTTCCATTGAAGGGCATCTAGGTTGGTTCCACAGTTCAGCCATTGTGAATTGAGCTGCTATAAACATTAATGTGGCTGTGTCACTGTGCCCCCAACAATGGAGCATCTACGTACAATTTCAAGAATCAAAAAGAACACAACACACTAATACTGGGTGACTTTAACACACCTCTCTCACCACTGGATAGATCTTCCAAACAAAAATTAAACAAAAATCTATAGAACTCAATAATATAATCAATAATTTAGACTTATCAGACATATAAAATATTTCATCCTTCAATGAGTGAATACGCTTTTCTCAGCAGCACATGAATCCTTTTGTAAAATAAACCCTGTTATGCCACAAAGCAAATCTTAGTGAATTAAAAAAAAAGAGATACTACTCTGCATTCTATCAGACCATAATAGAATGAAATTAGAAATCAATGATAAAATAAAAAATAGAAGGTACTCTAGCACCTGGATACTAAATAATATACTATCAGATGGGGAAGGATAGCAGAAGACATCAGCAAGGAGATAAAAATATTTTCTTAGAGATAAATGAGAACACACATACAATATATCAAAATCTCTAGGACACTAAAAAGGCAGTGCTAAGAGGAAAGTTCATGCATTGAGCTCATTCATTAAAAGAATAAAAAAATTTAAAAATCAGCAAATAAATGACCTAACATTACATCTCAAAGCCCTAGAAGAAGAAAAAAGAATAAAATCGACACCAAAAAGACAGGAAATAATTAAAATCAGGGCTGAAATCAATTAAATTGAAACATTTAAAAAAAAAGTGACCAAAAGCTTGTTCTTTGAAAAAATCAAATTGATAAACCCTTAGTCACCCTAACAAAAGGTGATGAAAAAGGAAATATCACGACAGACACTATTGAAATACAGAAGACAATTATAAACTATTTTGAAAATTTAAGCTCTAATGAAATAAAAAAAATCTTGAGGACAATGACAAATTTCTAGGGACATATGATATGCCCAAACTGAATCAGGAGGACATACATCTCATGCTTTATAACAGTTGGGCTTTTAAAAAAATGTTTTAGTTGTAGATGGACACAAGACCTTTATTTATTTATTTTTTATTATTTTTTTATATGGTGCTGAGGATCCAACACAGTGCCTCACACATGCTAGATAAGCATTCTACCACTGAACTACAACCCCAGCCCATTAAGCGTTTTTTTAAGTGTTAAGCCATCCTGGATTTTCCATGATTGTGGTGACAGACTGCATTCATTGAACACTTACTACACTGTCATCTGAGGGCTTTACTGCCTATTGCCACTGACAGAAAATATTACACCAGTATTTGGACTCAGGCAGAAGTTGAACTTAAGTTCCTTATCCTGGACACCAGAAACCATCACCCCACCCCCACCCCACTCCTGGGTCCTAGCCAACAGTGTTGATAATAGTGCTCTCTCTCCTCTGTACATCCCAGATTTAAGACCCACATCAGGGCTGGGGTTGTGGCACAGTGGTAGAGTGTTTGCCTGGAGCATATGAGGCACTGGGTTCGATCCTCAGCACCACATAAAAAATAAAAAAGATATTGTGTCCATCTACAGCTAAAAATATACTCAAAAAAAAGACCCCCATCACTTTCCTTTCCCTCTCTCTCTTCTCACCTCTGAAGTCCAAAATTGCTTCCAGCTTCTATGAGAAGCCAATCTTAGGCCTTCTCTCTACCTGCATTTCTTTAGCACTCAATCAGTCTAGACTTCAGCCACATTGGCTGTCATATCCTTTGAAAACTGTTTCTGATATCTGGAATGCTCTTTTTGAGGCACTTACTTCATCATATAGTAATGTTACTAATAACAAGTACTTTACATAACTAGAAAACATTTAGTCCTCAGTCCTATGAGATTAGTACTTTGATCATCCCATGTCACAGATGGTGAAATGAAGACAAATAGAGAGTGACCTGCCTGAAGTTACACTGCCAGTAAATTGGATTCACACCCATACCACCAGGCTCCAGAATCCTTCCTCTTAACCTATTAACACCAACTGCCAAGTGGCTCTGGGTAAGCTCTTCTAGTCTGGAGTCCTAATTAGTACTACTCATCCCACCCTCTTCATTGGATCCATCAACAAATCCTGTTGTTTCCTTCTTTAAAATATACCAGAATCTGACTTCTCCTTTCTACCTGCACTGCTGCCACTACCATTGCCATTGAGGTCCTAGACTGATGCAGTGGCTGACTCACTGCTGCTGCTCTTCCTGTCCCCTACCTAACCTCATAGCAGCCAGAGATTGTTTTAATCCAAGTCACCCATGGCCCTCCTCTGAATGGCACCCTGCCCTAAGAGAGACACATCTCTCAGAGAAAAGATAGTTCTCTCCACAAGGCCCTAGACTTCTCTAACCTCATGTCCTACCACTGGCCACCTTGATCACTCTGTACCTGCCCTAATGACATACTTGCTATTCACACACCAAGCAAGCTTCCACCTCAGGGACTTTGTATTGCCTGCTTTTCCTTCTGCCTGTAATTCTAAGATGTCAAGGCAAGGCTGACACATTTGGCTGGTAAAATAGTCTTTGTTAGATTCCAAAGTTACTTACAAAGAAAATGAAAGCAAGAATAATCAGAGCATTGGCGGTGCATGCCTATGATCCCAGAGGTTGAGGAAGGAGGATAACAAGTTCTAGTTCAGGTTCACCAACTTAGAGAACCTGTCAATTTTGAAAAACTGGGGATGTAGCTCTGTGGTAAATTGCCCCTGGGTTCTATCATCAGTATAAAAACAAAATTGTCAGAGTTCAGTTCTAATCCCTTGTATCAGGCAGCAGGGAAACTGTTCCATGGCTGACATGACACAAGCTGGCTACAGAGCCAGTTTCAAGGTGAAGCTATAGTTCTATATCCCTGAGTCAAGAGAAAGGTAGAAAATATTTCCCCTAGAAGCTGGTAAGACCAGTACACTCTGGGAGACAGGGAGGCAAGTGAGAAATGGCCTGATAGCTAGCATCCCATCTTGAGCTTTCCATGCTGTGTTCCAAGGGTCACAGGAAGTTCTGCCAAGATGGATTGACTTACGTATGTGGCCTATGTAGTAGAGATGCAGAGCAGACAGCCTCCTTGCCTACTAAGTTCAAGTCTCTGGTTCCCAGTTGCCTTCCTTGGACAAATTGGCATGTGTCCTCACTCTAACTTAAACTGCTTATTTTTCTTAGGACTTGCCACTCCCTAATATTACATCATAAAGCAATTTCTAGTTTACTGTGTGTTAACTCTATGATGCCCGAGAAAAAATATGACATATCTGTTGCTGTGTCCCCAATAATGATATGGCACACACAAGAAATGCTAACATTTATCAACTCCATGCCAACCTCCAGATGTTTTTCTATGTGTTTCCCATGTCTCAATTCATTTAGTGGACTATCTTTATTATTCTGTTTTTAGAGGTAAGAAAACTGAGGTTTTTTTCAAGCAGTCTAGGGTTTTAGAGGAGGGAAGGTAGGACTCCTTTTTCTGGGGGGTGAGTGGTACTGGGGATTGAATTCAGGGGCACTCAGCCACTGAGTCACATCCCCAGCTCTATTTTGTATTTTATTTAGAGACAGGGTCTCACTGAGTTGCTTAGTTCCTTGCTTTTGCAGAGGCTGGCTTTGAACTTGCGATCCTCCTGCCTCAGCCTCCAGAGCCGCTGTGACTACAGGTGTGCACCACTGTGCCCGGCAAGGTAGGACTTCTGATGCTGGCCAAAGGGATGGTATTTCTGTCTGAGGAAGCCGGAGGAATAATGAGAGCTTGACTGGGGATGGGGTTCTAGGGCTGGTATCTGAAAAACATCAACTTAATAAATGTCAGATGGCAAGAAATAAAAGCTGGCATTTATCAAACAAGTTTTCTTTTATTTTTAATATTTTTTAGTTGTAGATGGACACACAGTATCTTTATTTCATTTTTATGTGGTGCTGAGGATCAAACCCAGTGACTCACGTGTGTTAGGTGAGCATTCTACCACTGAACCACAACGCCAACCCTCAAACAGGATTTCTTGAGGCTCTTCCAATAGAAATGCCTATAACTATGAAGAGGGCTCTGGGGAACAGAGCAGACCAGGAAAACACCTGACACCTCCCACACCCATTTGCAAGTTACACAAATCACACTCTTGATAGTTCAACCTTTCAATACAGAAAATTTCTAATTTATATACAAAAAGATAGTACTGGTTTCACGAACTTTCACATACTTGTTGTCATCCCACTCAACAACTATATTTATATAAATATTTATTTATTTATTTATTTGCGGTGCCAAGAATTGAACCCAATGCCTCACACATGCTACCCAAGCACTGTAGCCAGTCCCTTTTCTTGTGTACTGGGGATTGAAAACAGCCTCATACAAGCTAGGCAAGGAGTCTACTACTGGGCTACATCCCCAGCTCTTTTTAAATTTTGAGAAAGAGTCTTGCTAAGTTGCCAGGCTGAAGCACTTGTTCAAACTGCAAACTCCACAGTCACTTTAGAATCTTGGGGCCAGCTGTCTGTTAAAATACAGTCAACCAGGAAACATCAGATTATTTCAGATTAAACTTTTCTTTCACTTACCTGGTCATATGGGTAGAATGGATACCAATGAAGAAAAATATACTTGGGGCTGGAGTTGTGGCTCAGTGGTAGAGTACTTCCCTGGCACATGAGGCACTGGGTTTGATCCTCGGCACCACATAAAAATAAATAAATGTATTGTGTCCATCAACAACTAAAAAAAAGTACTTACTACATATTTGCTGTCAAATTCTCTGCTCTTCAAAGATGTACCTGAGTGGTAGAATGCTTGCCTAGCACATGTAAGGCACTGGGTTGAACACCTAGTGCACCAAAAATAAATAAAAGTAAAAAGGGCTGGGTGTGTAACTTTGTGGTAGAACACTTGGCCAGTGTGCACAAAGCCAAGGTTGAATCCCAAGTACTGAAAAAGGAAAGATCTCAAATAGCCAACTAACTTTACACCTCAAGAAACTAGAAAAACTGGGATTCCACCTCTTGGGTCCCCTTCTTCCTCCGGGAGAAGTCTTTTCTGCTGTCCTTTAATAAACTTCTAATTTCTACTCTGAAAAAAAAAAAAAAAAAAAAAGAAACTAGAAAAACTAAAACACAAAGTTAGCAGAATTTGGAATTGCCCAAATTAGAGCAGAAATAAATGAGTTGAGAAAAATAAAAAGATCCATGAAATTAAGAGTTGTTTTTTTTTTCCCCAAAAAAAGATGAACAAAATACAAAAGCCTTACACACCTGTAATCCCAGCAGGATCACAAGTTCAAAGCCAGCCTCAGCAACCTCAGTAATGCCCTAAGCAACATAGCAAGATCCTGTCACAAAATAAAAACAAAAGGGCTAGAGATGCATCTCAGTGGTAAAACATCCCTGGGGTCAATCCCCAGTACAAAAAAAAAAATTTAAATTTGAAAAAAAGCTTTGTTCCTATACACTAACAACAAATTATCTGGAAATTAAGAAAATAATTACAGGTTTGGGGTAAAACTCCATTGCAAAGTGGGTATTCAGCATGTGCAAGGCCCTGAGTTCTAACCCCAACACCAAAACCAAAATGAAACAAAACAAACAAATAACACCTTTACAATAGCATTTTAAAAGAACTCTACCAGGGGCTGGGGCTGAGCCCAGCATGTATGAGGCACTGGGTTCGATTCTCAGTACCGCACATAAATAAATAAGGGTCTATCAACAACTAGGGAAAAAAAAATTTAAAAGAACTCTACCAAGGAGTGAAATACTTGCACACAGAACTACATAATACTGATGAATTAAAGGAGACACAAATAAATGAAAAGACATTCCACATCCATGCATTAAAAAGATTTTATATTTTTCAAGCATCCATAAGCACCCAAAGCAGTCTGTATCAAAAACTCAATGGCAGGGCTGGGGATGTGGCTCAAGCGGTAGCGCGCTCGCCTGGCATGCGTGCGGCCCGGGTTCGATCCTCAGCACCACATACAAAGATGTTGTGTCCACTGAAAACTAAAAAATAAATATTAAAAAAAAAATTCTCTCTCTCTCTCTCTCTCTTTAAAAAAAGAAAAAAAAATGGGGGCTGGGGTTGTAGCTCAGTGGTAGAACTCTTGCCCCTCATGCATGAGGCACTGGGTTCGATCCTCAGCACTACGTAAAAATAAATAAATAAAGGCATTGTGTCCATCTACAAAAAAAAAAAAAAAAAAAAAACTCAATGGCAGCTGGGCATGGTGGTACAGGCCTATAATCCCAGCAACTCTGGAGACTAAGGCAGGTCAAATGTTAAACTTGAGGCCAACCACAGGAAATTAGTGAAGACTGTCTCAAAATATAGGTGGGTGGCCTGGCATGATGGTACATACCTGTAGTCCCAGCAGCTTGGGAAACTGAGGCAGAAGGATCTCAAGTTCAAAGCCAGCCTCAGCAAAAATGAGACACTAAAGCAACTCAGTGAGACCCTGTCAACACAAAATCGGGGTGGGGATGTTGCTCAGTGGTTAACTGCTCCTGAGTTCAATCCCCAGACCAAAAAAAAAAAAAAAAAAAATTAGCCAGGAGCTATGGTGCATGCCTCTAATCTCAGTGTTCAGGAGGTTGAGGTCACAAGTTCAAGGCCAGCCTCAGCAATTTAGCAAGACCCTAAAGCAACTTAGTGAGACCCTGTCTCAAAAATAAGAAAGGGCTGGGGATGTAATACAGTGATAGAGCACTTGCACAGGATATGTGAGGCCTGGGTTTAATCTCCAATACTATAAAAGAAATGGACTGGGGATGTAGCTCAGTGGTAGAGTACTTGTTGGGCATGTGCGAAGCCCTGGGTTCAATTTGCAACACTGCCAAAAAAAAAAAAAAAAAAAAAAAAATCAATGGTATTTTTACAGAAATGGTAAACAACCTAAAAATTCAAATGGATCCACTAACCTAAAATAGGCAAAGTGAACTTGAGAATGACCAAAGTTAGAGGTCTAGTAATCAAAACACATACGATAGCGGCATAAAAACAAAGACCACCCAGGTACAGTGGTGCAAGAAGTAATTCCAGACTTGGGAGGCTGAGGCAATAGTTTGAGGCCAGCCTTGGTAATCTGAAGACCCTGCCTCAAAATAAGGAATAAAAATAATATGGCTGGGTATGTAGTGCAGTGGGAGAGCACTTGCCTAGCACGTGTGTGAGTTACTGGGTTTGATCCTCAGCACCACATGAGTATAATAAAAGTATTGTGCCATTTACAACTAAAAGTATTCAAAAAAAAAAAAAAAGAAAGAGAAAAAAGTGCACAGATCACAAGTATTCTCAGACACACACAAACTCATGGATGGATGTGGTAATTAGCTTGATGGTAATCATATCAAATTCATGCATAAGAGTTTAAAAATGAAATCTTCTTTAGGCATGGTGGCACTCTAATCCCAGTACTCTGAAGACTCAGTTTGATGGTAGCCCCGGGCAATTTGGCAATATCTTCTCTCACAAGAGTTGGGAATGTAGCTCAGTGGTAGAACACTGGACTAGCATGAGCAAGGACCTGGATTCCATCCCCAATACTGCACCACCCCCCCCAAAAAAAAAAGCTGCTGTGAATAATAGTAAAGAACCAACTTGCCAGACCCAGTAGCACATGCCTGTAATCCCAGCGGCTTGGGAGGCTGAGGCAGAAGGATGGAGAGTTCAAAGCCAGCCCCGGCAAAAGCAAGGTGCTAAGCAACTCAGTGAGACCCTGTCTCTAAAATACACAATAGAGCTGGAGATGTGGCATGGTGGTTGAGTGACCCTCAGTTCAAACCCCATTACAACCCCCTCCAAAAAAAAAAAAAACAAAAAAACACCAACTTGTAGAACATTAAGTTTGAAATGTTTACTGTTCTTACAATGTGAATATTGACAGTTGCAATTTTAAAATGTTTCCATCTCTCTATTACTACCCAGGAAAAAGGGAGAGTTGTTGGGTTATTAGTAGGTGAACATGATTTCTCAATTAAGCAGTTAAACCTCATAGGAGACAAACTAGAAAAAAAAAACACACACACTACATGATCTTTAAAGTGGCAAATTCCTACTTTTTTTTTTTGTTGTTGTTACCAGAAATTAAACCCAGAGGTAATTAACCACTGAGCCACATCCCCAGCCCTTTTTAATTTCATATAGAGACAGCGTCTCACTGAGTTGCTGAGAATAGTTTTGAATTCTTGATCCTCCTGCCTCAGCCTCTGGAAACACCTGGCACAAATTTCTACTTTCATCAGGGGATAGACAAGTATTCTAGGCAATCAGACCCCATGAACTTCAAAAGATTTCATCACACCTTTGACTAACCCTTCTGCTATTCCACTTTCATCACCATGTGGTTTCTCAAGGTAGTACCTGCCTGCTTAAACTTATACTTCATAATGTAGCAGACTCATATTCTTATTTTCCAGCTTCGGTATGAATAAAAGGACAAAAGTATTTAAAAACTGGGGGCTTTAGGGTGTATTGCAGTGGTAGTATTCTCTTGCTTAGCATTGGGTTCAATTTCCAACATCAAACAAAAAGAAAACCTCAACAGCTCACTAGAAATATTTATTCAGAATGTCCTAAGTTGTTTAACATAGAAGCCTTAACTTTGTGCATACACCATATATTAAGAACCATCTGGGGGCTGGGGATGTGGCTCAAGCAGTAGCGTGCTCACCTGGCATGCACAGGGCGCTGGGTTCGATCCTCAGCACCACATAAAAATAAAAGATGTTGTATCCAGCAAAAACTAAAAATATTTTAAAAATCCTCTCTTAAAAAAAAATCTGTCATAAGATAACCACACACTAGTATTTCTTCAGTAAGACTCAAATATAGCTACTTTGGGGGCTAAGGTTGTGGCTCAGCAGTAGAGCACTCGCCTTGCACATGTGAGGCACTGGGTTCAATCCTCAGCTCCCCATAAAAATAAATAAAAGGTATTGTGTTCAATTAAAAAAATATTTAAAAAACACCTACTTTGGGGAGGGGCTTACTGAGGATTAAACTCAGAGGCACTTAACCACTGAGCCACATCCCCAGCCCTTTTTTGTATTGGGACAGGGTCTCACTGAGTTACTTTGCAATTTTCAAATTTGGTGGCAAGAAAAAAATTGGGTGTTAATTACCTGAAGTTTTTCACAACTTATTTTACTGGAGCTGGGTGGAGTGACACACACGTATAATCTCAGTGGCTTAGAAGGCTGAGGCAGGTGTATCGCAAATTCAAAGGCAGCTCAGTGGTAAAGGCATACCTGCACTAAATCCCCAGTACCAAAACTTTTTTTTTGAAAACAGTAGTTCAGGGCTTTTTTTTGGGGGGGGGGGGGGCAGGAATGGGGTTTTTTTGCCAGGTATAGAACTCAGGGGCACTTGACCACTGAGCCACATCCACAGCCCTATTTTGTATTTTATTTAGAGACAAGGTCTGAGTTGCTTAGTGCCTTGCTTTTGGTGAGGCTGGCTTTGGACTCATGTTCCTTCTGCCTCAGCCTGGTTGTTATCCCAGCATGTGCCACTACACCCGACTCAGATTTTTGTGCCCTGGTGGTTCTGTGTGTTAGCTGAGGAAAAAATGTAGCTGGGCCAGCAGTGGCAGGTATCTTGATAAGCAGGAATGAGTGGCAAAACACTTGTTACAAATGTTTATACATACCTTAACTATTCACCAAAACTTCTATAAACAGCTGTTTGTTTCCATAAAAATGTTTCCATATTACCTAATCCCAGAATGTGGACCAAAATATAGGGGCAATATCAGAGATCTAGTCTATTATAAACATTGTACATCTGACACAGTAACTAATTTGCGAAATGGGGACTAGTATTTTCATTTTGTGCATGTTGAAAGGGAAGCAGAGGAGAAATTAAGGTGCAAGGTAGGGTCTGAAAACAATGATTTCTATCAAAGTAGGGTGGGGAGACAGGGCTTTGAATTTGAAAGCCATTGTGATTATTCTGAATCTTCAAAAGATCTTAGAGGAAGGCAGTGTTTAAAACAGTGGTAGTCAGCGGTACAGTGCTCCTATGTTCAATTCCCAGTACCCCCCCCAAAAAAGGTATTTATACCTATTATTTTTAGACTTTATGTGGTGCTTAAGATGGAACCCAGTGCCCCACATGTGCTAGGCAAGGGCTCTACCACTGAGCCACAACCTCAGTCCTACACCAAGGTTTTTAAGAGGCAAGATCCAGGGACTGAAGTCTTTGCAAACCTTGAGAACCTTTGAGTGGGAATTTCTAGTTTCTGGGCGTGGGTTCTTGGCCAAATCAAAACAGGAGACTAAGAAGGGGCCTATAACATTAGCTATTTGAGGACAGGGGTGTCAGTGGTAGGGTACATGCTTGCCGAGTACAAAGACCTGGCTTCAATTCCAAAAACCAAAGAATGCGCATTCGCTATTTGAAGACAGGAGTGTCAGTGGTAGGGTACATGCTTGTCGTGTACAAAGACTTGGCTTCAATTCCAAAAACCAAGAGTGTGGTGCTTTGAACCTCAACTCTGGAATTTTATTAGGGACTGTGGCAATAGAAAACTGCTGTGGTCCTTGGGCCTCCCACAGCTGAATTACCGTAATAATCTCCTGATATTCAGAAAGAACAGGTTGACAGCTGTTAATTCTGATCTATGAGGCTATTTGTGGTCTTTTTAATCCCACAGAGGAAATCATTTTGTTGCAGGAATATTTTGACTGATTACAGGTTCCTACCTTGGGTGACAATGGGGAAAAGAGGCAAATTTTCCCTCCTGAGGTAGGGAACAAAGTTTTCTCCCACCCTGGCCTACAAGAAAGTTAAGGGTTGTCTTCCTATCTCTCCCATCACATTAGCTCCCCACAGATGTCCATCATAGAATGCCTCCTTAGACCAAGTACCCACCTGGTGGGGGGGTTAGCCATAATGCCCCTAACCTGGGCCTGGCTCAGTAGGTGAGACAGAAGTCTGAGAAGTTCCTGAGTCTCCATCCACCTGCCAAAGCAAATTCATGACCATTTGGGTAGGAGGAAAAGGGTCCTTGGGTCTATCCCTACTAGCTGGGAGACCCAGGAAGAAGGCCTCTAGGACTGCGACTAACACAAGTCTCTACATCCTATTAATGAAGGAAGGAAGCTTAGTTTAACTAATTCCCTGGAAAGCATAATCTCATGGTATCTGGCTCAATACTGGTTGAATATAAGCCATGGGTATAACCAATTTTTCTGTTCTAAACACAAACCAATGAAGGACTAGAACCCATGGGGCCTTAATACAGTTACTAGAATCACAACTAAAGGGAGGGGGAGAAGCAAGGAATTGAAGCCAGCTAGATACAAAATCAGACTAAGAAAGGCCATCACCACCTTACACCCAGACACAACACCAGACAGAATCCATGCAAAAGAGCTTCCACTGTTCTGTCTTTATAACCCTCCACAGAAAATGTAAAATGCCCACGAGGCAAAGGCACTAGTTAAATGACTCTCCAAAGATCAAATTACCTGGGGAGTAGAAAAGCCCACATTTTAATCATGGAATATGAATCCATTCAAAGCTCTCAGACAGTTTTCAAATCAGGTTTCTTTCACCATGATAAGTTCAATACACCTCCCATAACCCCCATCATTTCAGAGGAAAAACTGGCATCTTTAGAGTTCATGTCTTGAGATTAGATGTATACATCCTCAGAACAACATTGTGAGAAGGGTACCCACTCAGAAGTCAGAGTCAAACCTATGAAAATTCTGATTAAATTTTGGGACCAAGAATCCACCTAAGGAAACCTAATTCCTTTCAGAAGGGGTTTTAGCTGTTATTCACCACACCTCATGCCTTAATATATACCAAAACCAACTCCAAACTTGACTAAATTTTGCTATCTTCTACTCTTTTGGCAGTCTGTGCCCACCCCACCCTAAACCAAATTTTCTCTAAGACCCCTCCTCCTGACCTGCCTCCATTTTTTTAAATCTCCAAACTGGGTCGAGTAAGAAATAAACATTATCAATATCAATTTGTGTACAGGTTTCATATTTTTAATCAGTTCTGTGAAGAATATCCTAAACACTACAAGAGACACAACAGAATATTTTTTCTTCCAGCATTAAAAAAAATGACATTCACAAACATTTTAAAGAGGCTTGTCTGTATAATCAGGGTGGTGATCTTGAATTTTAAGAAAAATTTACATGTTCTTGACACAGATTGTTTATAGATACATTTAGAAATTGCTTTCTAGTCATGATAAACATTGTGTACAAGTTTTTAAAATGCCCCAACTTTAGCTTTTAAAAAAAAATTAGTCTGGCTAAACTTTTCCTTTTGCCAGAAGCAATGATCCTGAGAGCCCAAACTAAAAACTTGGTAAAAAGAAAAATACCTGGGGGCCTAACAAATGTACTATAATTTGTCTTTAAATGAGAAAAAATTTTTTACATGGAGCTTTTTAAAAGGTCTTTTAACAAGCTACCTTGGGAGCTCAATTGAAAAATAGAAGTTGATGTACTAAAACAGATGTTTCAGCGCAGCTCCAAAAATCTTTATAAATACAGCGATTTGGAAGGACGATCCTGGATCAGAAGTGTTATTCCTTGTGTATCTGAGAACAGTAAGAAGGAGTAGAATTGTGATGGCAGAAGAAAATGAGCTGACAATATTCTCACCTCTATTTCCTCCATCCCTGAAAGAGTAGGATTACAGGAAATCCCTTTTCAGACCCCGTGCAAGTAGACTAGCCCTGACATGCACCTGAGAAGCAAGGGATGTCAAAGAATGATGTTTAGTGGGCTGGTTTGGTGAGATATGTGAGGGCAGTAGAAATGCTGAGCAGTCTAGCCAAAAGAAAAGATAAGAAGAACACAACAGGGTCTGCTGGGCATAGGTCTGCTTAGTGCAGATATTCAGGCCTCACCTACTTAACGTGTGCATGCCTCAACTCAGTTGTCATAATTGTCTCGATAATTTCCTCCTGAGTAGCGGTCATAGCCACCCTGGCTTCTGGGAAAAAACACATAATTGTTACACAGGAATGTATTCTACTCTGCAGATAATTTTCCAAAATTCACATTTTATAATATGCACCATAATGTAAACTTGTACAAAGAAGAATATGAAGCAACGAACATCATGTAGTAGGCAATTTGATGGCATTAACTTATACAGCACATAAAGTCACATTACATGTTAATGCAAGGGTTAAGCCATCAACATTTTTGTATTACCACTGACCATGTTACAATTATATGACCATACAATCAACATATCATACATAATCCAAGTTATACATCATGGTTGTTTTTTTCCTAAATATTTTTTAAGTTATGGATAGAAGCAACACCTTTATTTTATTTATTTTTATATAGTGCTGAGGATCGAACCTAATGCACTCTACCGCTGAGCCACAATCTTAACCCTCATTCTTATTTTTATTACCCACGCTGCTGAACGCTTCAGGAGAGCAGCAGTCTCAGTGAATTCTTATCTTCTGGCTACCCACCTGCCACTATAGTCTCGGGACCTTCCGTATCCATATCCATATCCTCCAGGTCGACTGTCATACCGGCCACTCCCATAGCCCTGGTCCCCACCACCTAAGGCAGACAGAAAATATTTAAATGCCAATTGTTCAGACTTAAGTCACTAACATGTGGCTCTCCCCCTCACCTCATAATCAAACTCCACTGCACTTACCTCTAGAGTAGCTGCGACCACGCCCATGGGCCCCAAAGGCACCCCCTCTGGTGCCCCGGGCAGACTTGCCTGCATGGTCCACCCGGATCTGCCGACCATCCAGGGACTAGGTGTGGGAGGGAAGACACAAGGAGGATGGGTTGGCAGTCAGTCAGGGAAGTGGTGAGGAAAGAATGGGCATGGGCAGGTGGGCAAAAGAGCCCAGAAATTCCTGTTAGGCACCAGATTCTGGGTGCCATGTTCCAGAACAAGCTCCTCTGACCAGAATGGCTTCATCAGGAGCTACAGAAACCCACAAAATGACCTGAATCCACCGTGTTCCCCCTGCTACTACTTACATCTTGACTGAACTCAGGCTGAGTTCTCCTCCCCACTCCTCTAAGCTGCCCGACTATTAGGGCTAGACAGACACCTCTCTTGGTTTGAGGCTTCAGAGTCCATCCCAGAAGACTCACGAGGTCCTCTCCGGGCCAGGCCCACAGGTCTGCAGACTCTACTACCTAAGCCCAGGGCAGGTCAACCATCCACAGGTGGCTTCTCGGCCTCATGCAGGACCAGTCGTCGCCTCCCAGGCAGCCCGGCTCTGTCTGCCGCTGCCCTCCACCCCCTAGAACAGAAGGCAGTCACGCTCCTGTGAGTGGGCACTGCGGGGCTTCATAGCCGCGCTGCCCCTAGCAGACACAGAGGGAAAAAATAGAAAGAATGGAGAAAGTGGCAGATGGGGACAGGGCCCCTCTGCAGGTAGGAGGCCTCACCTCTCCATTCATGGCTTTCATGGCATCTGAGGCATGTTCTGGATTGGTGAAGGTGATGAAGCCAAAACCCCGGGATCGCTGAGTCTCCCGGTCCTTGACAACAACCACTAAAAAAGGGAGAGGAAACAAAGATCAGTCAATACATGAAAAGGTTAAGTGGTAAGCACTGGCCTGAAAAAGGAGATAAAGAGAATGGATTCCCCCACCAATTCTCCATGTTCTCAATCCTAGAGAAACAAAGAAGAAGTGCTGACATTTCTCCTAAGTTTCCATGAAACACAAGGGTGCCAGAGATACTTTCAGCAACCCTTTGTGGATCCGGCCCACGTCTCACCCTCAGAAATAGGCCCAAAGCTGCTGAAGTGGTCTTCCAGCGCCTGCTCATCAGTATTGAAGTTGAGTCCTCCCACGAACAGCTTCCCTTCTTCAGAAGACATGGCAGTGAATTTGAGTCCTGCAGGGAGATTTTGGGGTGGAAAAAACAGTGAAGGTGCTAGAAGTAAAAGACGTTGGAGAAGTGAGAAAAAAGAGTGAAAGGCAGAACAGAACATAGACAAGAGGATGGCAAAAAGGCGGGAAATCTACAAGTACAGTTGAGCTCGGACATTTGGGGCCGCCAGAGCGCATGCCCATTACATGCTACGCCGCCACGCCCGTCATTTTGTGCTGTTGCGCAGGCCCAGTACATCCTTGCATTCCCTCCGCGCCCGCAGAACAAGATGGCGGCGGTCACGTGGAAAAACGGGGACAGCAAGTCGGCTGTCACGCAGCCGCTGCGGACACCTAAGCTGCCAGTCCCGCCCGGTATCCCTGGCATTGAAGACACAGAGAGCCAACCTCCCACCAACCAAGAGGTTGAACCTCAGAGCCTGGGACCCGCCTATCCCAGGAAAAAACAAGCCTACGTGTCAAGCAGCCGCTAATCTCCTCACTCGGGTCCTCCGGAGATGCCGGCATGGCGCACGTAAGTGAGGTGAGGAGCAGCCTCTCCTCAGGACCTACGCTACTTACCTGGAAATTGAAAAGTAAAAGCGCTGGAGAGACAGGAAGCTCTGAGGAGCAGGAAGAATAGGGAGGCTGCCGCGCGGGAAGACGCTTGATAAAGCAGACGTATATGGACACGTCACGGAACGCCCTTCCAGCGCGCTTTGGCGTGCGTGCTCATTGGCTGAGGCCAGCGTTGGGGGGTGGTGGAGAGGAAAGGACGGCAGAGCAAAGGGAACAGTCACCCCGCGCGCTTCCGCAAGTGAAGGGGACCTTTGTGCAGTTGGTATACCCTGATGTCAGCACCCCACCCCCACCAACTGAACAGTTTTCATTCTGTAAACGCGTGAAACTTCTCCCTCTCAATCCCTTTCCGTTTATGACGTCATCCTCACCACCCTGATGTCATTTCCCCCATTGCATCTGAGGTCCTGCACGCTAATGCACTAGATCTCTGCCAACATAATTAATGTCCTCTAATGTCTTATTTACTTTCAAGACCTTTGACCACATATCCATGAAGAATTTGATGTTTGGTCTTCCACTGTCCCTGAAGCATCATACTTTTTGGTCCTTGATGATTTTCTGGGTGCCTGACCCTGGTCCCTTTATTTTCTCCTCTGTGCCCAACAACTAGCCGCCTGTCAGGGACTCCTCTCCCTGTTTTCATCCTTCTCAACTCTGGCTTCAGCTCTCATCCTTATCTGACTGCCCACTTAAGCCAGATTTGATTTTCTCATCAGTAGATTGCCTGAGATGTGTTCTGCAAAACATGCTTTTTCCTAACTTAAGGGGGTGTAAATCCCAATCCACAGAATGAATTTTAGGGTCACTCAGGGTACTGAGCATTTGCCCCGTAGAATGGACTTTCACAATATGCAATGAACTATAAAGCAAATATTGTCCCAGCCTGCTGCCCACAATTTGGTCTTGTCATGCCTTCAGTGTCTAAGCTACCTTTACAAGGGATGGATTTAACAGTCTTCATTTCTGAGTTCCTATCAATGGAGAATGAGTTAGTTTTCCTACAGATACTCTGATCTTTATCCATACAATGAATGTGTCTATCCTTCCAAAGGCCTGCCCCCGACATAACCTAGATTTTTTAAGCTTCAGAGTACATACTATGCTACTTATCCATATACCTATTGGGCCTATTCCCCTACTTCTCTTATTATTGATTTCAGGAGTTCCTCATATAGTCTAATTATTAATCCTTTTAAGTGTTGAAAATTGTAAAATCATTCTCCCTCTATGGCATTTGTGTTATTCAGTGGTATCTTTAGTTGAATAAAGATCTTTAATATTGATATAATCAATTTTCCTTGGATGATGAGTGCTCCTCCACCCCATTCCTCGCCCAGGCACTTATGCTTGTGGGTACTCTACCATTGAGCTACATTGCCAGCCCTGGTCTGTGCTTTTAAAGAAATCCTTCACTTCCTCTAGGACACAAAGATGTTCTCCTAGTTTCTTCTATTAACTTTATAATTTTAGATTTAAAGTCTTTAATCCTTGTATGTGATATGAGATAGAGATCCTGTTTTAGGGCTGGGGATACAGCACAATAGTAGAGCATTTGCTTAGCATAGGCAAGGCCTTGGATTCAATCCCCAACACTACACAGGGAAGGAAAGAGAGAGAGAGATATGAGAGATGCCTAGTTTTATTTTTTTCCCATGTCATTGAGCCAGATGTGCTATCACATTTACTAAGCAATCTGTCAAATTCTCGTGTGTGTGTGTGTGTGTGTCCATCTCTATCATATACTAAGATGTGTAAATATATAACTCTGTTGCTGAGCTGTTTTTTTCTCTTCCATTGGTCTAGTTGTCAGCTCTTGAACCGACATTTTCTTTCTTAAATGATTAGGACTTTAGTTTGTAGCAACGTCTCCATGTTAACTTACTTTTGGAGGTTGCCTTAGCTATCCATGATCATTTAGTATTCTAAATTCTTTGTGTGTGTGTGTGTGTGCGTGCGCGCATGAGATACACTGGGGATTGAACCCAGGGCACTCTTCCACTGAGCTACACATCAATCTTTTTTATTTTATTATGAGACAGGTTCTCATTAAGTTGCCCTGGCTGGCCCCAAACATGCCATCCTCCTACCTCAGCCTCTCAAGTAGTTGAGATTTCAGGTGGGTTCCACCATGCTAGGCTAGTATTCTAAGTTTCTAATGGAAGTTTATTGTAGCTCAAAAAAAGTAATAAAATTTTTACTGGGATTGCATTGAATGTATAGATTTGTGGACAAGTATCTTCATAATAATATTAGCTGTTTGGGGTGTTAAGTATCACATGCTGATACTGCTTCTGTCAAGAGTTGGCACCTAGGAACCAGGTGAGGTGGTACATGTCTGTAATCCCAGTGACCCAAGAGGCTGAGAAGCAGGAGGTTTGCAAGTTCCAGAAGAGCCTGGGCAACTTAGTGAGACCTGTCTCAAAAAAGTAAAAAGGTGGGGCTGGGGATGTGGCTCAAGCGGTACTGCGCTTGCCTGGCATGCGTGCAGCCCGGGTTCGATCCTCAGCACCACATACAAACAAAGATGTTGTGTCCACTGAAAACTGAAAAATAAATATTGAAATTCTCTCTCTCTTCTCTCTCTCTCTCCCTCCCTCTCTCTTTCTTTAAAAAAAAAAAGTAAAAAGGTCTAGGTATGTAGCTAAGTGTTAGAGCACCCCTGGGTTCAATCTCTGGTACTGGAAAAAATAAAGAGAGAGAGTCTAATTCCCTTCCCTGTGAGTGTGGCCTGGATTTCCTGACTTAATTGTAATGTATAGAATGAGGCAAAAGTGATAGTGTGTCACTTTAAAAATTAGGCCATAACAGGAATCTCAGCTTCCTGCTCCCGACCCCCAAGGAAGATTGCTCATTCTGTGGGACATTAGCTGGTATATCTTAATCAGTCCTATAGAGGGGCTCTGGTGGCAAGGACCTGAGGCCTCTTTCCAACAGCAATGTGAGTAGGCCTTCTTCCAAGCTTGAAATGACTACAGTTCTGCCTGACATTCTGTCAGCAATCTCAGGAGAGATTCTGAGAGAGAACTACCCAAGCCACTCCTGGAATCCTGACTCTCTAAAACCATTTTTGATACTAGGGATTGATACATTTTTGATACTAGGGATTGAACCCAGGGGCGCTTTACCCTGAGATACATCCTCAACCCTTTTCATTTGTTTTTAAAGAGAGAGAGAGAGAGAAATTTTTAATATTTATCTTTTAGTTTTTGATGGACAGAACATCTTTATTTTACTTTTATGTGGTGCTGAGGATTGAACCCAGCGCCCTGCACATGCCAGGCGAGCATGCTACCGCTTGAGCCACATCCCCAGCCCTTCATTTTTTATTTAGAGACAGGGCCTCACTAAGTGATCCTCCAGCCTCAGCCTCCTGAGTCACTGGGATTACAGGTATGCACACCTGGCATGTTTTTTTTTTCCTTTTTTTTTTTTTTTTTGGGTAGTGGTATTGGGGGTTGACCCAGGGCCTCATATGTTCTGGACAAGCACTCTTTCAATGAGCTACACCCCCAGTCCACGTTTATTTTTTGTTTTGTTTTGTTTTTTTAAAACAATAAGTTTTGGAATAATTTGTTACCCACAGATAACTAAAACTTCAGTAAAATCTTCCCAGCAGAGCATGACATGTCTCTCCTTAGCTGAGTGAGGTAGTGCATACCCGCCTGTAATTTCAGCAAGTTGGGAGGTTGATATGGGAGGATGACAAGTTCAAGTCCAGCCTCAGCCATTTAGCAAGGTCCTAGGCAACTTAGCAAGACTCTGACTCAAAATAATAAATTAAAAATAAATAAATAAATAAGTAGATAAATGTATGTTTGTCATTGTATTCAGATCATCTTTCTATTACAGTTTAACCTTTTTCTTTTTCTTTCTTTCTTTCTTTCTTTCTTTCTTTTTTTTTTTTTTTTGAGACAGTGTCTCTCTATATTGCCCAGGCTGGCCTCAAGCATGTCATCCTCCTGCTTCAGGCTTCCAAGTAACTAGGATTACAACTGTGTGACACCTTGCCCAGCTTTAGATTTTTCTTTTTTAATAAAGGTCTTTTGTATTGGTTAAGTGCATTCCTAGTTACTTTATTTTTTATTGCTTATTGATAGTGTAGAGAAATGTTTTTGATTTGTGTAGGTTGACCTTGTATCTGCAGGCCTCATTGAACTCTCCTTAGTCCTATTACTTTTTCTCATATCATTTGCAAATTAGTTTTATCATTTTTTTTCTACAATTTATACTTAATTTATTTTTCTTTCCTTATAGCATTAACCAGGATTTTTTTAAAAAATAGTTTTTTAGATGTTGATGGGCCTTTATTTTATTCATTTATTTGTATGGGATGCTAAGAATCTAACCCAGTGCCTCACACATGCTAGGCAAGTGCACTACCACTGAGCCACAATCCCAGCCCCACATTAACCAGTTTTATATTAGAGTATTGAGAAGGACTATTCTTTCCTTGTTCACTTGTTAACTGGAAAATGCACTTAAATTTCTATAGTAGAGGCATGGAGTGTGGCTCAGTGTTAGAGTGCTTGTCTATCATGCAGGCAGCTCTGGATACCATCCCCAGCACTCCCCCAAACCAGCTCCCCCCAAAAGAAAATTTTACTAGGCATTTTTGCTCTAAGTTTTTGCTGTGTTACCTTCATCAAGTTAAGGAGGTACTCGTTTGCTAGTTCTTTTCCTTCTTAATATCATAATCATGTATTGAACCTAGTTAAATCCTTTGCTGCTTTGAGATGATCATATGATTTTCTCTGTTAATAATGTGGTAAATTATATTCACAAATTTTCTAATTTGGATCATGTTTGCATTCTAGGATATATGCTCTCTTTTTTTTTCAAATGCACTGTTTAGCAAGGTGTGATGGTGCACACCTGTAATCCCCAGCTACTTTACAGTCTGAGGCAGGAGAATCACAAGTTCAAGGCCAGCCTCAAAAATTTAGCAAGGCCCTAAGCAACTTAGTGAGATTTTTGTCCCAAAAATTTTTAAAAAGGGCTGGAGATGTAACTTTGTGGTTAAGCACCCTGGTACCCCTCCCCCCACAAAAAAAGGGCTGGGTATGGCTCAGTGCTAAGTGCCTAGCACAGAAAAGACAAGGCCCTGGGTTCAATCCCCAGTGCCCCCAGAAGAAACAAAACCAATTCAAACA